AAAAGGACGTTGCCGGAAAATCGCTCCAGCCTCGTCACAGCTCGCCCGTGTCGTCTGCCTTTCGCCTCGGTCCCAGCCGAGATGAATTGCACTCGTCCAACTGCCTTCTCTACTTTGCTGCTCTCGATCCTCAACCAAAAGCCGAGATCGGAAAAACAAGCCTAGCGGCGGCAAAACCCTAGGAGGACCGAAGATTTAGAGAGCTAAGCTCTCACTCCGGAAGGGAAAAAAAATTGATAATTAACATTGTTAATAAACAAACTATCACACATTCACACCCTGACCCTAGATTTAAACGAGTAATACGGAGAAATAATTAATGGAATAATTTATTCACATTTACCAATTACTCCGTATTCCAAAAGATAAAAGTTTAAACAACGTGGTCTGCACTGGATTCTGGATTGGGTGTGGGTCATGAACTCATCACTAATGGGTGCATGTTGTCATGGGGATTTGGGAACATGGAATGTTATTACAGAAACCTATACGTGCAAATGAAAAAGATACCGACGTTTATTTTATTACTCCCTCCGTAACATTCATATCTTCTCACTTTCCTTTTTTGGACGTAACATTTATATCTTTCCATTTCTAAATATTCCCATCATACCCTCAATAATTTAAAAAATAATACACTACTACACCTACTTTTTTTGGATTTATCCTTCATTCCATCACATTATTTCACCATCTTCCCATCATACCCTCAATAATTCATACCCCATTTCACTATTCTTAATCTCACCCACTTTGGAAGTGGGAAGATATATGTGATACGGAGGGAGTATTATTACTACCAGTACAATATATATTCAGGCGGATAATTATTTGTAAGTAACAAGTATGTACATATATAATCTATAAGAAATTGATTTTGAAAAAATAAACATTACAATGAAACACAGTACAAATTATTTTTGTGACAAAATATAGTTAATTTGGTATAATTAAAGGTGAAAATTTAACAAAAATCACTCAAAAGTCAAATTTAAACTTCAATCAAGTCACCTAGGTCGTAGTAACTGGATTTGGTCACTATTAGAAAAAGGGTAAGTGTATTTCATGGTAATTTATCAAATCAGTTGTAACTGATTATGAATTTGCGACATGTAGTTGGAACCTGATGAAGGGTAATATAATTGAAATTGGTCAGGGAGGGATATAAATTACAAAAGTCGTGTAAGTATTTTTCGGAACACTAGCACTTTGAATTGGAGGATATATAATCAAGTGCAAAAGTATATTAAAAGATTATTAAAATGAGTATAGAATTTATGCGGCTGAAGGATTATCATTAAATGGTGTACTAATCTCTACAAACTAATAAGCATGAATAGGGGTGGGCAAAAATCCCGGTCCCGGTGTCCCAAACCGAAAAATCCCGATACCGTTCCGAAACTATCCCGATCCATTTAGGACACAATTTTTTCATCCCGAACCGGTCCCGCACCAATATTAACCGGGACGGGACCGGGATAGCTATAAAATATCATGTCCCGTCCCGGTGTCCCGTTTGAAATTAATATATTATTTTAAATTTATAATGTTATGTAATAGTCAAACTCAATTAAAACTTTCTAATCCTTAGTCTCCCTAGTGTATTTTATCATATTTCATGTCTCTCTTAGTCTCATTTCTTTTATTTCTTCTGATTAAAATTTGTTTAGTTCTCATTCCAATACTAAACCATAATATATTATTACGTGCGGAATACTATTTATGATGGAATACCTACTACTCCAAATTATAGTTTTGTTATAGATTTTAATATTTTCCAAAATAACTACTAGAAAATATATATATAGAGTCTTTATAGATATGTTATTTAATTTAATGTTGTATTGAAAAATTACAAGTGTATTTTGCACTACTATTCTACTAAAGGAAACACAAGATTAGGGGGACCAAAAAAATTTACAAGATAAAAATTAAAGAAATAGTTAATTAAAGGTTTTACTCAACTTTATAGGGAAGCTAAATTTGCAAAAATAGTTATGTCTTTATTTTGATGTTATGCTTATTTTTATATCACATTTCATAAAATGCATATTTTATGGGACATCACGAACCGTCCCGGTTTTTCTCGGGTTGTCCCGGTCCCGTTTTAAATGGGACAACGTTGGGATAAAGACTTATCCCGTACCGTACCGAACCGTTGTTATAAAACCGGGACGGGATCGGGATAAGCCAAATCCCGGACCGTCCCGGACCGTGCCCACCCCTAAGCATGAATGAAGGTAAGTCTATTTTAGATATAAAAATTTGTTGGTGGTAGTGGTAGGCTTATCTCTATCTCTACAAACTAATAAGCATGAATGAAGGTAAGTCTATTTTAGGTATAAAAAATTTGTTGGTGGTAATGGTAGGCTTAGAACACATGTACACCATACTTAAAAGTTTGTTAATCTTTCAGATCCCAATGCTTATCTCCTTTATGTTGTTTTTTCCTTTATGTTGTTTGTTTCTGTTAGTTTGCCCACAACCGGCCTCTCAGCAACCATGAGAGGAGTTAGAATGTCCTAATTTTCAATGGGATTAACTTTAGATGAATGTGAACCGTGATGGCATTCACACGTAGAATTAATCACAATCTCGCTTCTGTAACATGAGTTAGAATACTTTAGTGATATTCTACTCATTAGAATTGGTGAAAGAATATACATTAATCACTAGGAGTCATTTAGGAGTAATCCCGAACCCTTGGTTGCTTTTATTATCATTTAAAACCAAAAATTTATACTCTTTTACCAAGTCTTTTACAAATTCTATCCTCATCTTTTGAATCATATAAACAACGTTTTCTCGTGTTCGGCTCGGTATTTTTACCGCTTTTTATTACTACATTGGCACTTGTTCACAAAAAGCACTTATTCTCTCAAACATTACCAACTCTACTTTTTCATAATCACTTTTTTTCAAACATTACCAAATTTTACTATTAATCACTTTTCTCAAAATCACTTTAAGAAATCACTTTATAAAAACAGAAGCAATCACAAACACTCCCTTAGTATCTCAGTGGCTGCATCATTAGTTAACTACGATGCAACCAAAGATAGGAATGGAGGGCAAACTAATAAAGAATGTGCTTATTAGTCACATTTTTGGAAATTATGAAAAAATGTCTCTTTTTTTGCCATTGCTTATTTTTTTAGTACCGCTCCGCCCGCTAAGATTGTCTCAGACACTATTCACCTGGTCAACCCAAATCACTCTTAATCTCTTACTTTATATATCAATTTTATCAAATTTGATTTTAGTTTTTGCGAATTTGTAAAGTTTTTAATGTAGTTTCTGAATATGTATTTTTTATCCTAAAAATAATTTGAGTGAGGACAATGATGTGTTTGTTTTACCGTCGGTCAAACATCGTAAATTGAATTGCCCCAAACATAGTGGGACGAAGTAGTAATATTTATGACAAAACCCCATATAAGTACAGAAAAATCTAGTACATAGTGAAAGTTCCCGAAATAGGACTAAAACAGTTTGATAATTCCAAAATAGGACTGACATGTTTTTTATTCCCAAAATAGGAGTAATTACTGTCAAGTTTGGAAAATACTGGCATGTTTGAAGTCTGGTACTGCCAAAACATGACAGTAATTAGTCCTATTTTGGGAATAAAATCATGGCAGTCCTATTTTGGAATTTTCAAACATTTTTAGTCCTATTTCGGGTAATATCTCTTTTTTTTAGAGTATAGTACATAGGTTAATAAGTGTATGATATCCTGTCGAGATGTATAAAAGTCGGACTGCACACCAATATTATGGGTTGCCGAAATATCCCTGTCGAGATGTATACAAATCGTACTGCACACAAATGTTACGTTGTGTTTTACCCGAAAGCTGACCTTAATGTTTGCATGATTAACCTAAATCTTAGTCGTACCACACACCAATAATAAACCATTTCAGGAAAAAAAAAAGGTTTTAAATGGATAAATTTTATAATTGAAAAATCAAATTTACAATTGAATAAAGTAACAGGCTAAAAATGGGCACAGTAAGGAATTACTTTTCTCTTCATATTTTACAAACCGTGTTTTTTTTTTATCTAATACGCCTCAAAGAGAATAAATATGGGGATTTTTGGATATACTTATTCTCTTTCAGAAAGCAGAATTAGATATTGAAGTATTTGAGTGAAAGATGAGAAGTATTTTTGGCTACTCCAAATTACTCCTAGAAGTATTTTTCAAAAATGAGGATATCAGTTTTCGAAAAACTAATTTTGATATTGTTCCTACTTTAAAAAAGAAGCAAAAGTAGAAATAATTGGTCAATAATATACAGATTGCACATTGACCAGTGGGCTAGCTGGCTGACGGGTTTAGTGGTGGTTGTAGACTATTGATTGTCATTGGGGATCCTAATACACTTCCAACAAACTTGCCTAGTATCTTTTGAATGAATTTTGGCGACCATGAATTTTCTCATAATTGATTACACTTTTTTAGTCATACTTTTCATTAACAATTTTTTTGATTGCATACCGTTTTAAGATGTTGAGAACGGCTTTCTTAAAAAAAGATAATGTTGAGAACAAATAATTAAGAAGATAATGCTGGAGTGAGAGCATCTTCAATGCTAAAACGTTAACGGTGCATACGTGGCATGAGAAACAACCAATTAAAAATCAATAAATAGAATCTCTCTCTCCATATTTATAGGATCTTACATCATTTTGGTAAGTTTTTCTTCACAATGTCAAGCACAATGTCTAGATGTAGACATTGTGGTTGACATTGCAGACATAAACTTACCAAAAACGCATAAGACCGTGGAAAGAAGGAGAGAGAAATGTCATAAAATCAATATTTTGTGTCTATCTCTCTCATGCCACATGTGCACCGTGCACATTGTGACATTGGAGATGCTCTGAGGCTCCGAAGGTGTGACTACCCACGTTTTTAGGCAAGTCATGAAAACCGGACTTTACTTATTTAGGTAAGTCATGTAGTAAGTCATGATTTTGAGATATGCTTGGTACATACAAGAGTTAGTACTTAGTAAGTCATGGCCAACCTATACTACAAGTTATAAATGTGAATGCTAATGAAAGAAGACCTCAAATATTACTCCTAGAATTTTAATGGATCAAAAAAAGACTAATTTCTGGTATGACCTTCTCTTGAGATAGAGCCTCCGGATGCTATGAGAATACAAAGCCACTGACGTCGTGAGACAGAGCCACCGACCCCATGAGACACATGGGAGGAGTGGATTAGGGCTGGTTAGGGTGATCAAAGTTGGTGTGCCGCAGCGATTGGGTGGCTAGACGGGGTGGAGTTGGTTAGCGCGGCAGAGCAAGTTCCGTTTGGGTGACACTGATGGAGAGGAGATTGGCCGGGACTGGGAGGGGACTTGAATTGGGGATGGGGGGGGATGGGGAGGTAAGTCGAGATGGGGCGGTAGGCAGTGGCGGCGGTGGTCGGCCGGAGTGATGGCTATGACTGTGCCTGGAGGGGTAGTGGGGTGGGCGCAGGTATATGTGGACTGGTTTTGGAGTGTTATGACATGGGGGTGGGCAGGGTGGTCTAGGAACACAGAAGTAGTGGTGGGATGATAGAGTTAGCGGGGCGGCGGTGTGGGATGGTCACTAGTCAGTTGCGGAGGTTATTGTTTTGCAAGAAAAATTATCTAACAATCAGAGTGACACATGTTTCACTTTCTATTACACAAAAAACATTTAATATAACAAATTGTATCAAAGTACTTTTTCAGAAGCATTTTTTCACATAGAATCAACTTTTATTATTAACTACTTTAATTTCTCCTAAATCAATTTAAAAAATCATACTCCATACTCCGTATTTTTAAGTAGATGCATTTAGAAACACTCCCAATTAGCTTGTGTCAAAATTATTTTTCTCAATTGATTTTCTCTTTCGTAAACCATTTATCTTTTGTTCCGGATGTTGTCTGTCTATTCTATATTTCTAACCCGCAATTGAGAAAAAACTGTTTCTGAATTGGAGCTCAGTTTATTTAGTTTGCCTTTTTTATTGGAGGTAGGTGGACGGACAAACAAGATTTAATTTGGATGGGTCAACCAAATTTGGGCAGGTTAGTCACATTAATAGTGTGCATTGATTTAACTCTTCAAGTTATAACTTACTAATACTTGTTTACCAGAAAATTCAGCCAGCAGGGACAAATTTACACTAACTTTATCACATAAATTTTAGGAAAGAAATATTATTTAAAAAAATCCACAATTTATTAAAAATGAAAATGATATTTATAAGAAACAGATAAAATATTTAATCATAAATTTATAACTAATTTAAGTTACAAATAAACAAATGTGTTTTAATTCTAAGTGCGAAAAGATGTGATTGAAATTACATTAAAATAAGTTATTTTAAACTAATTTGGGTGTTAGGTTTAGACATTCCATAATTTTTTAAGTACAAAAACAAATATATATTAGAAATAGATAAAAATATATACTTATAAGTGATTTAAGTTATAAATAAACAAGTTCTAGTATTATTTGTTAGCTACATTATAAAAATTCATTTGAATCTTAGTAAAACAGTTGTGCTACATTATAAAAATTCATTTGAATCTTAGTAAAAGAGTTGTTAAAGGCCAAAAAAATAAAAACCAGGATGCAAGTTGGGAGACTCGATCGCTTGACCTAAGGGAAAAGCATCCAACGCTTCAGCCAGCAGGCTACTCCGCTAACTTTATCTATTTTCAACTTTAAACCTTATTATATCTTATCTACAACAATGATATATATACAACAACAAAATTTGATATATATATATATAATGGGATTGTGTGGGGGTTGAGTGGGGGCAGCTGCTCCCCTTCCCCCACAGTAGATACACCCCCGTTGACCACTATGAGCTTCAATCCCACCTAGTAGAGGAGTTTTAATTTGTACAGCATGGTATCCTCTGTATTTTCCCTTACAAGTTACTTTTCCACTTCTCATATTCTGAGTCTATCTATGTTTCTGTTCTTCCCCACCTCCTTTTCTTAAGCTTTCTGATTTTGATTTTTGTTTTAATGTTCTCACTTTGGAACTTCTTTCAATTGCTTTTCTCACTAACAGAAGCCATGACCACTAAATAGAAACGTTTTAAATAGAAAAGAAGTAAAGAATGGATGAAATATTATTCTACTAGAGTAGTACGTAGTACATGTTTCAAAGTTGTGACCCCCATCTTCTCACTCAATTCTTTTTTTATAACACGGAAGACAAACCACCAAAATTGCATTGGTGGGATAAATGTCGAGGAACATTTACCAGGTTTTATTTGGAATATTTTCCAAATATTCCAACAAATAATACCGAGCAAGTAATGTTTGAAGATGTCTAAGAGAGTTTTGCTCCCCGCCTCTAGCCACCAGGCTAGGATTTTTTTTGAATGTGTTGAATATTAGCCGGAAGATAGATATCTATAATATGAGCAAAATATTTTGTTAGGGACCTACCCATTAGTGTTATATTAATAATAGAAGTAATAATAATAATAATAATAATAATAAAATTAGTAATAAGGGTCGCTATTATAAATAGAGGGGAATGGGGAGTAGTAGAGGAGGCTTTTGGGACTTTTGTCTAGGACTGGGAAGATTTGAGACTAGCCGTCTCTATCTTTTGGGAAGCTTCGGCTTTGGTTACCGTGTTTCCCCTGTAATCGATCTTATCTCATCAATAAAGTTTCCAGTTGATTTCTTATTAATCTTCTGCAAATTGTTCTGGATTTTTGAGGTTTCTATTATTGGTATCAGAGCGAGTTGTTCGCTGGATGAGTTACACGCTCGCAAGGATGGAAAGACGAATCAACGAAGTTGAGGAAAATTTGTTAGAATTTGGAAGGAAAATGGATAGAAGTCTGTGGAAGTTCCAGACGGATATGGAGGTGAATCTGGCTGCGATGGAAGCCGCGATACAAGCTAGCATCGCAGATGTGCAGAACAGACTTCAAAATCGGTCGCAAAACCGATCGCACACGTCACAATCATCACATCGCGACTCTCATCATCACACGCGAAAGTCAACAAATTCAGAAGAATCCGAAGAGCGAAGGCATCACAGAAAATCTGGCGACCGAACGAGGGACAGTAGGCGTCATCCGCTATCGCGAGCAGAGTCGCGATCTGTTTCTTCTCATAGTCCGCAATCGCGAACTTCACACCAATCTTCGCATAGTTATGGACACCGTTCTTCGCATATCTATTCGCATCGTTCCTCTCCTCGCTCGTCACAGAAGGAGTTGCAAAAGAAATCGCGAACAGAGTCGTCATCTTCATCTCGAACAATAGCTTCCAATTCCTAGGTTTCTTCTCAGTCGCGAACAACTCCTCATAAGTCGTCGCCAGATCCTAGACCGCAGACTTCTGCGTTGGCCTACCCTCACAGTTCACAGACGTCCTCTCTATCTGTTTCTCTGAATTCTCAGGATGAGACACAATCGGCTTCTCCCAGTACACCAAAGTCTTTTCAAATTGCTTCTCACAGTCCACAGTTTCTACCGCTCGGCATGGAGCTGGCTAGCTGGCAGCAACCTCACTCAGAAGATACTCCCATCTATGATAACGAAGGAAGAGAGGTGAAATCTTCTGTCGTTACTCACACCTCAACTGCCATGGACAATGAATACGGTGATGATAATTATAAAGTGGAGAACAAGGTTGTTCCGGAAATCTCTCTAGGTGGTGAAAATTCAGCGGCACCTAATAGTATGGAAAAGCTAGTTGGAAATATAGGAGTGGAACACTGCCCACTTGGAAGAGTTGTTAATGCTCCTATCTCCTCTCTGGGCTAATAAAGTTAGGGGCAGATCAGGACAGGGAAGCAAAGAGGTTTCAGGAATCCTTCTGTAATGGACTAGACTGTTTGGAAAACAGTTTACACGCACATCAGGCCATAGTAATGAATGGGTGTACATGGATTGGAATAGAATTCATCCCTCTATTTCTGCTGTGGAATATGAGCTTATAAATGTTGGGTTTAATGATGGGTTATCTGAAGCTAACAGGTGGAATGGATTTCTCCATAGAAATGATTTGGATGCAATAGGTATGGATGATATAGAGCTGATCCACAGAGCCAATCTATCAGCTGATAGAAATAGTGTGAGGGGTATGGTTGTGGTTGTTATCCCATCAGGAAGATTCAGTTCTAAATGGGAAGTTGTTCTGGGTTCATCCTATCGAATCCCATTCGAAGGAAGCACTGAAGAGGCCCCATCTACATATTCATCTGATGACGACTACTCCCACAAACAGAATCTTCTTAAGTGGCATGGCAGTCCCACTTTTGATGCTAAAAAGGGAAAAGTTTGTGATAGTATAAGCATTGTGTGTGGTAATATACCTCAAAAGAATCCCAGCAACATCCAGCAGTATAGAAGATGGATTATATACATGGTAAAGGGTGTCAAGTGGACTAGTATTCAGTTTAGAAACACAGCCATTGGGATAGATTTCAATGACTCTATTGATCCTGGGAAATACATGACAAATGTTGAAATTTCAAGGAGTGAAGCAACTGAAACTGAAAGATTTGAGTTATATCCTGTATCAAGAGCTATTAACAAATGGAAGAATGAGCAAGGGATGATAGGTCAAGATCAGTACCATCATGATCAAAGACACAAGACTAATATTGATGATGGGAAGGAAGAGGAGCTAATGCTGTTTTTGCAAGAAGCAGTGAGAAGGAAGATTCAAGTCATGGAGTTTAGGATCCTGAAATTTGAAAGATATTGGGAAGGAAGAGGTGCAAGGAAGAAGAAGAAAGAGATGATTTTGGTTGTCTCCTTCCGCCCACCTTGAGGGCAAGGTGGATGTTTAGGGGGGGAGTATTGTTAGGGACCTACCCATTAATGTTATATTAATAATAGAAGTAATAATAATAATAAAATTAGTAATAAGGGTCCCTATTATAAATAGAGGGGAAGGGGGAGTAGTAGAGGAGGCTTTTGGGACTTTTGTCTGGGACTGGGAAGATTTGAGACTAGCCGTCTCTATCTTTTGGGAAGCTTCGGCTTTGGTTACCGTGTTTCCCCTGCATAGAGGGCAAATTGAGGGGTTTAGCAAGATTCTAAAGCGAATAAGCTTATCAGATATTGGCAGAATTCCTTTGAAAAGTCTCCACTGAAATAATTGCAATTTGAGTTGCAATTTAGGATGCCACATATGTTTTTATGAAAAAGTAGAACCCATTATTGTGTCTCACAGAATTACAAGCAGATTTAAAATTAAATTGACCATCTTTTGAATTTGTCCAGATTAATTCCTAAGCTGAAGAGTCCACAAGAGAAATTAACAGAGCAAATTCTTTTCCAAACTGCTGAATCTGTCACTCAGTCACTCTAGGTATCATATTATATCATCTCCTCCTAGATATATCTTGCTCTTATAAATTCTGCCCAATAAATGTTGTTATTAGAACTTTCCATTTCCACCAAAACTTCAAAGTGAAAGTTTTTTCCACGTCAGGGAGGGCACAAATATCAAGGCCCCCTTCCTCTTCTCACACATTATATTATTCGTTCTGTTAAATAACAAAGTGGAATGTGTTTTAAACCTTTAACGTCCTCATGAGGAGAAATACAAGTAATATAATTAAAGTAGTAACACATTTAAGCTAAATATGTGTGTACGTAGCTGTATATATATATACATACATATGTAATCGATGCAAACACTTCGAATCAATTTATTACAAATTACATGAAATGTAAAACGCAACTAATTTTAAACATTTTCACAAATGCATTAAAAATACTATAAAAAGTTGGTAAAAATTATAGGGACAAGTTGCATTTATGGGCATGATAGACCGTACCACACACCTCATTTAATATGTTTATTATCAAGAAATGCATACGACTTATAAGAAATTTCTGCAATTGGAAACTCATACAAATATTTTTAATGTGTGCCGTGTTTTATTGACGGTAGGTATTGACGGTAACGATTAATTTATGTTTCATTAGAATTATCAGGAGGTAGTATATGATGATAAGAAATACGAAGTATGGAGTATAAGACATGAATGGAAATACTTATGCGATGAAGTTTTTTGACTGCATATACCCCTAATTTTTTTTTTTTGAATTATATCTCTGAGACTCTAATTTCTCTTCATTTTATCAGCTCTGCTACATTTTCAGCAACTTTAATAGATTGAGCCATTTTAAACTTTATGAAATGGGATATGCATTTTTTAGCAATGAGTAACAATTGCACCATATATAACAAACCAAGACATCAAAACATATATAAATTGTAATATAGAAATTTTGCATAAAGAATAGTATCTTATAAAGAAGTAACTAAAACAAGTTCCAAATTTGTGACTTCTTAAGTAACAATAACAATGGCAAGATCTTCTAAGATGTTTGCTTTTTATGCTGCTCTTCATAGTGCTCCTTTCTTCTACGAGTAATTCCTCTTGTAATTGACCTGGGTTATTACTCCTAGTATTTCATGTTCAGCCCTCGCTCGAAAACAATTACACTTTTTAATAAAGTGAAAATGCATAATTGTGATTGAGTTGCAAAATTGTAAAAGAGTATTACTGACAATACCGCACAAAACATTCCTTTAAAGGAAATATAAGTACAATATTAGACATCTCGAAAACATAAGTGATCGAGCACATATTAAATTGCCCTATAAACAAACATGTACTCAGTTTACCCCAACTTAATCATAAGTTGAAAAGAGTGGACTGAGAATCATAAGTTGGGACAAACTGAGTACATGTTTGTTTCTAGGGCAATTTATATTTTGATACGAGTATATACATATAATGCCAAAAAGTCTAACATGTGTTCACTTACATTTTTGGTATGTCTAATATTGTACTTATTTTCTTTAAAGGAATGTTTTGTGTGGTATTGTCGTTAATACTCTTTTATATTTTTTCAACTCAATCACATGTATACATTTTCACTTTATTTATAAGTGTGTAATATTTTTCGGGCAAGGGCCAAACATGAAATATTAGAAGTAATAAATTCATAAGGTCAATTATAAGAGGAATTACCAGTAGAAAAAATGAGCACTATGAAGAGCAGCTTAATAGCAAACATCTTAGATCTTGATACAAACTAACCCCTCTGAAATCTTCAGCCATGCCATTTGAATCCCCTACATCTAGTCTGGTCCTCTGACCCTGAAATTGTCCTTTACTTTTTCAGAATCAGGACTGAAATGTTGGGAATAACAGGATCGTGCTAATATGAGAGAAAAACACTTCTATTACTTTCAAGAATAGAAAGAAGAGACATACAAGCTCTAACTAAAAACTCTCAAAACACCTCACATATCTCTCAAGGATATTCACAACTCAAACTTGGTTGTGGTATTCTAATCTATGATCTAAATTGCTTGATGATAGAAAGACTCTCCAAGCTCTCTATTTATAGCACCAAAACTAGGTACTAGGAAGGTGGGAGGAAGATGGGTGGAAGCTTAAGAGAAGCTTCAATGGAGGTGTGAGGAAGGTGGTTGTTTGGTGTGAGGAAACTTCCCAGAGACATACTTGCACATGGAAAAAGTTTCATGGATGTTGCTCACAATTGGATTCTTCAATTTGCTTGTACTTGGATATGACCTGGAAATTGAATTCTTCAATTCTCCCCTTCCAGGCATATTCAAAACAAGCATCCCGACTATGTCTCTGCACAGCTCTAGCTTATCTCGTGTCACCACCTTCGTCAGCATGTCTGATGGATTCTCCTTTGTATTGATCTTCACTAGTCTCAACAGTTGTTGATCAATCGTCTCCCGTATCCAGTGATACCGAATGTCAATATGCTTTGTACGAGAATGGTACATGGAGTTCTTGCTCAAGTCTAGAGCACTCTGACTGTCACAATGTACCTTGTACTCTTTCTGCTGGATCCCAAGTTCTTGGAGAAAACGCTTTAGCCACAACATTTCCTTACCTGCTTCAGCAGCAGCAATGTATTCTGCTTCTGTTGTAGATAAAGCAACACACTTCTGCAATCTTGATTGCCAAGAAACGGCTCCCCCTGTAAAAGTGTAAATATATCCTGAAGTAGACTTTCTACTATCAGTATCTCCTGCCATATCAGCATCTGTGTAGCCTTCCAAGACTGGATCAGCTCCTCCGTAACAAAGACATAACTTCGTGGTACCTTTCAAGTACCTGAGAATCCATTTGACTGCCTCCCAATGCTCCTTCCCGGGGTTAGAGAGAAAACGACTCACTGTACCCACTGCCTGTGCGATGTCTGGCCTTGTGCATACCATGGCGTACATCAAACTCCCAGCTGCTGAAGAATATGGAACTGCTGACATCTCCCCGATCTCTTCCTTGGATGTAGGGCATGTTCTTTTGCTCAACTTGAAGTGATTCGCAAGTGGAACACTTACAGGTTTGGCATCATTCATGTTGAATCTCTCAAGTACTCGTTCAATGTACTTCTCCTGAGAAAGCCATAACTTGCGATTCTTCCTGTCTCGAGTGATCTGCATCCCAAGAATCTGTTGAGCCGGTCCTAAGTCTTTCATATCAAAAGACTTAGAGAGTTCTTTCTTCAGCTGCTTTATCTTCACTGCATCTTTCCCAACGATCAACATGTCGTCTACATATAGTAGAAGAGCAATGAAAGTACCGTCTGGAAGTTTCTTGATGTATACACACTCATCCGCAGTAGTCTTCTTGTAGCCTTGACTCTTCATGCATGAGTCAAACTTCTTATTCCACTGCCTTGGTGCCTGCTTCAAGCCATACAAACTTTTAGATAACTTACACACAAAGTTATCATTTGAGTTCTCAAAACCTTCCGGCTGCTGCATGTAGATTTCTTCTTTCAAATCTCCATGAAGAAATGCTGTCTTCACATCCATCTGTTCAAGCTCCAAGTTCATACTTGCTGCCAAGCCAAGTATAACTCGGATTGAGGTCATCTTGACAACTGGTGCAAAGATCTCATCAAAGTCAATTCCTTTCTTCTGCTGGAACCCTTTGACAACCAACCGAGCTTTGTGTTTCACCACTTGTCCGCTTGCATCCTTCTTCAGCTTGAACACCCATTTGTTCCTTAGTGCCTTCTTCCCTTTAGGAAGTTCTACGATCTCATAAGTTTGATTTTTCTGCAGAGATTCTAACTCATCCTGCATTGCTATTAGCCATTTTCTTTATCCTTATGAGATACAGCTTCTTGAAAACTCTCCGGTTCTCCATCTTCAGTTAACAAAAGATATTCGGATGATGTGTACCTTGTCGATGGTATATGCCCTCGTTCAGATCTACGAACAGTAGGAACCATCTGAGAAGAGCTACCATCATCTGTGTCTGGCGGGGTGGATTGTGTCTCCCCTTGCTCTGCACTCTCTTCTGTCTCCTCCTCTTCTGCTTCTGAGTTATCTTCATGCACTTTGTCCTCTTCTGGTGCTTCATTTGAAACTTGAGCACCCTCATTTGACTTCTGAGACATTGTGGGTTTTTCAATGTCTTCTATTGTCAAATCTTCGTGGAACACAACGTCCCGACTTCTGAACACTTTTTTCTCCTTAGGATCCCATAACCTGTATCCGAACTCTTCATTTCCATAGCCAACGAAAATGCATGGGATAGTTCTTGCATCGAGCTTCTGCCTGAGCTCTTTGGATACATGTGCATATGATGAACAACCAAATACTCTAAGATGTGAGTATGTAGGATCCTTACCTGTCCATAACCTCTCTGGAACTTCAAAGTTCAGTGGTACCGAAGGTGATCGGTTGATAAGGTAGCATGCGGTGTTGACTGCTTCTGCCCAGAATGACTTCGGAAGCTTAGCCATATTCAGCATGCTCCGGACATGCTCCATGATAGTCCGGTTCATTCTTTCAGCAACGCCGTTGTGCTGAGGGGTGCGTGGTACTGTCTTCTCATGTCGAATGCCATATTCTCTACAATATGCATCGAACGCCTTAGAAGTATACTCGCCTCCATTATCAGATCGGAGACATTTCAGCTTCTTTCCCGTTTCACGTTCCACCAAGACGTGAAATGTCTTGAAGCACTCAAATACCTGATCTTTCGTAATCAGGAAATACACCCACACTTTACGAGAAGCATCATCAATAAAAGTCAGAAAATATCTGCTTCCACCGATTGATTCCACCTCGAAAGGACCACAGACGTCGGAGTGTACCAAACTTAACAACTCTGATCTTTTAGCTGAAGTAGAACTAAATGATACTCTATGATGCTTACCAAACAGACAATGACTGCAAGGACCCAGTGCAGCATTCTTGTCGATGTTGATAAGGTTCTTCTTGATCAAGGTAGTCAGCCCTTTCTCACCGATGTGGCCGAGTCTCAGGTGCCACAGATTCTGAGAAGTCTCCTCAGCAATGTTGAGGCTATCCGTACAAATCCTCAAATGGGTTTTGTACAATGTGCCACAAACATGTCCTCGAGCGATTGTCAAAACGCCCTTTGACATTTTCCAGGTGCCCCTGTTAAAGTGGTTTTCATACCCCTGTTCGTCAAGACATACCACTGACAGGAGATTGAGACGAAGGTCTGGAACATGTCTGACATCCTTCAAAGTGATTGTGCTCCCAGAACTCGTCTTTATTTGTACATCACCAATTCCAGCTATTTCAGATGAACTGGAATTGCCCATCTTCACTGCTCCAAAGTCTCCAGCTTTGTAAGTTGTGAAGTAGTACCTGTGGGGAGTAACATGGTAGGATGCTGCAGTATCTACCACCCATTCAGTGTCCTCTCTTGAGACGTGAAGGCATGTTTCATCATTGATAGTACAATACGCCACATCACCTGAGATTGTGATGAGCGCTTCACCACCCTTGCTCTTCGCTTGAGAATTGCTCTTGCCTCGCTCCTCTAGCAATTTGTAGCAATTCTTCTTCATGTGACCCTCTATACCGCAATGGTGGCAGGTATAAGAAGGTTTCCGGCCATCTGATGATCTCCCCCGACTTTTGCCCCTGCTTTGCCATTTCCCTCTACTGTTTCTTTGTTGTTTTCCTTGTGATCTTCCTCTATTCTCTGTCACAAGGGCATGAGTCTCATCTGTGCTCATGTCTTTCCTTCTTGCCTCCTCATTGAACAGTGCATCCTTGACCACAGACATGGTAAGTTTGCCATCTGGGGCTGAGTTGCTGAGAGTAACAACTAGTGTCTCCCAACTATCAGGAAGGGAACTAAGAAGTAGTAGAGATTGCATTTCATCTCCAAGTGGCATTTCTACACAAGATAGTTGATTTACCAGACTCTGAAATTGACTAGTATGTTCGGCAACAGAAGTTCCACTTTTGAGCTTCATATTGACAAGACGCCTCATCAGTAGGGCCTTGTTCCTAGCGGTCTTGGCCTGGTACATATCTTCTAACTTTTTCCAAAGGGCATAAGCATCGGTTTCTTGTGCAACATGGTGGAAGACACTATGGTCAATCCATTGTCGGATTTGACCAATAGTTTTTCTATTAATTTTCTTCCATTCCGTTGACTTAGCCGGGTCAGGATTAATACCTTTCATCTCTATTGGATCAAAAAGGTCTTTACAGCTAAGGAAATCTTCCATCCGAGGTTTCCATAGCGTGTAGTTGGTAGCCGTGAGCATAATCATAGCTCCGGAAGATGAAGTTGACTCATCAAAGGTCATTTTCACCTTCTATATAATTTTGATTTTCTGTTTCAGAAAAATCGGAGCAGAATTTTGAAAAACGGGCAGCACCGTTGCGTCCGGAACGGCCGAAAATGGTGGGTAGGCACTTTCGGGGTCAAAATACAATTTTCGAAAAATTATAGGTGGAAATTATAATTTTCCAAAAATTGAGGGACCAAACTGCAAATTTTCAAAATTACAAACTGACCGGTGACGTGGCAGATGACGTGGCAGTGACATGGCGGTGACTGGGCGATGACGTGGCAGCTGACTGGGCGCTGGTGAAAGTTGGCAGTTGACTGGTGACGTGGCAGCTGACTGTGCTGGGACTGCACATGTGGCGCTGACGCAGCTCTGGCTGGCTGATGACGTCAGCGATGACGTCAGCTGTCTTCAACCTCTGCCTGCGCGTGATGACGTCAGCATGACGCAGGCAGTTTTTGGCCGGCGTTTGGAGGCGCGTACGGCTGCTTCCGGTGGCCAAAAAAATCCCCAAAAATACCAGTTTTCTCGTCTCGACGAGACGAATCCAACGGTATATTCAGATTGCAAATCCGAGCAATACTGAAAAACTCGATTTTTCAGACAGTAGAATTTTATCTGGAAAAAAAATCTGAGAAAAATATCAAAAGCTCAACCAGGCTCTGATACCACTTGTTGGGAATAACAGGATCGTGCTAATATGAGAGAAAAACACTTCTATTACTTTCAAGAATAGAAAGAAGAGACATACAAGCTCTAACTAAAAACTCTCAAAACACCTCACATATCTCTCAAGGATATTCACAACTCAAACTTGGTTGTGGTATTCTAATCTATGATCTAAATTGCTTGATGATAGAAAGACTCTCCAAGCTCTCTATTTATAGCACCAAAACTAGGTACTAGGAAGGTGGGAGGAAGATGGGTGGAAGCTTAAGAGAAGCTTCAATGGAGGTGTGAGGAAGGTGGTTGTTTGGTGTGAGGAAACTTCCCAGAGACATACTTGCACATGGAGGAAGTTTCATGGATGTTGCTCACAATTGGATTCTTCAATTTGCTTGTACTTGGATATGACCTGGAAATTGAATTCTTCATGAAACCATGCGTCTACGTACACCTTTTGGTTCATGACCATAGCGTGTAGATTTGTAATCCATTGCTTCATGCCAGCACGTGGCTGCAACATAATTGTAAGGGCTGCCAATAATTAAGTAAAAATGAAATTTGTAGGGTAACAAACCATAATAATATTTTCTCTAAATAAAGTAAGGTACAAGGCGTCCTTAAATATTAACGAAGCAGCAATACTTATTAGCTTTAGAGGCCATTTTGATATCAATTGAAGAGGTTTGATATTCAATGAAAAATGTTGTGATGTTCAAACCAACTAACAAATTCATCAGTGCTCATTTTGTAAGTTAAGTACGATCATCTTGTAGGTACTAATTTTATGCTCATATTCTAAATGTCATATCAATGCATTTTTTTAAAGTTATATTTTATACTTCGTATTAGACTCCTAAGCTAATACTCAACATAAAAGGTCTAATAATAATAATGTTCATTAAAAGTTCATTAGTACTAATTCACAAGAAACCGCAATTTTCATCTTAATAGCGAAGGTTTGATGCTCAATTAAAATGTCGTGAAGTTCAACTAACAAAACCTTAATTATGACGTTCATATCAATGTGCATTTTGTTAGTTGTGTATGCTCATTTGGTACTGATCTTGTGCTCATTTTTAATGTCATATCAATGCATATTTCAAAAGTATTATGGGGGTGTTTGGAACTGATTCTGCTTCTTTTTTAAAGCATAAGTAGAATCAAAATCAGTTTTCAGAAGCTGGTCACCCCCCAGCTTTTAAAAAAATTGATTCTATGAGTAAATTAATGCACCAGAATCACTTCTGCACTTTCACCCAAACACACCAGCTTCTGCTTCTGCTCCTTGAAGGAGCAGAAGCTGTTTTAAGAATCAAATCCAAACACCCTCTATATTACATTAGACTCGCATATTGAAATTAATAAGAGTGGTAATAAGTTTTTATAAAATAAAAAATAAGAAAAATAAATTAAAGGATTTGAAGCAGAGATCATGATACTCATTATTAGCCTCCTAACACTCAATAAAATAGATCAGGTGTTCACTAAAAATACAATATTGCTCATTTAGCGGAAGCCGTGATTTTTCGCTAAAATTACAAAAATGACACAAAAAGGCTTGTATTAATTATTGGGTTGTTTTCCTTAGTTGGGCCGGGTGTACCTACACCCGGGTGTATGATATAGGAGGTGAATAAATGATGTATAGAAAATGTAGGTTAGAAACTATCTACACGCTTGGTACCAATTCCAATTGGGGCGTGGACTTACCTAGCTATATACGGAGTATGAAACCCCCGTACGCTAGTGAGAATCATCACAACTTAGACTAAAAAAGCAAGCAATTGTTGAAAAGTTAGCTAGGGACTTGAAAAATATTTATCTCAACTTTGGTTGAAAGAAGAAAAACAACGGAACAATCTATGTACGTCAATGTGCTTCGTGGAATATATCATTATCTCAACATGGCAATAGCTCACTTACTATGCCACAGAACAAATAAATAGCTCACTTACTATGCCACAGAACAAATAGTACGTAGTAGTAAGGTTCTAGGAAAAGACGATTTCCATTAATAGAACGTTACAGTACAATAGCAACCCCTTTAATTAAATACCGCAAGCTAAACATTTTGTGCAGCTATAGGACTTGTTTGGCAATCCGGATGGCGGTTAGCGATTGACGGATTGAGTTAGCGGGTTTTTTACATCGGATTGAGTCAGCAGGTTTGACCGGTGGATTAGTTTGGCGGGTTACAAAAAGATGTTTGGTAATTTAAATGTTTGGTACATTAGCCCGTTGCAATATTTCTTTTTTTTGTCCTTTAATTTTCATAGTCAAGTTCATGAATGCCTTCTATATGTTCAACAAAGTGCCTTTACTACTGTCAAGATTTAGAATTTAATGTAAATATACAATGATCTTTTGGATTTTGAACACACTTATTCTCTTTCAATCCTAAAATTTTCTATCTTACTTTAACAAAGTTCAATTATTTAGATAGTTATTGTTGTATACAGCAATGTTATTGTTGTATACAACAATAACATTCATATTTTGGACACATACTTTACAATCAAATAATTTCACACGTATTTCATTTAGAGTGAAAAACTCCCACAACAAAGTTAGTAAATAATACTTCATCTGCTTAGCAATTTCACGGCACACCAAATCATTAAAAGCCAAAATAAATAACATACTTTACTGTTTCTAAACCAAACCAATGTACTTTATTGTAACCATTCAAAAAAGAATGCAAAAAAAAAAAAGAAATTATCAGTTTTTAGGAACCATATAGCGCAGATTATAATTATACTACATATGCCAGCACACTTCAAAAAAATTCTGCTCTATATAAAAAGTTTCCATAACAACTACTCCCTCCGTTCTCTAATACTTGGCCCTCTTTCCATTTTGGGATGTTTTCTATTAATTGTCTCTCTTTCTACTTTTGGTAAGTTTTTTAATAAATATACACATTTACCATCATTCTCCTTCATACTTTTTCATTCTCTTTCCTACTTTTTCTTTTATACACAAACCCACTACACCTTTTATCCTACCCCTATTAAGGGAGTGTTTGCAACTGCTTCTGCTTAAAAAAAAGCACTTTTGGAGATGTAATGAAAAAGTGATTAGTAGTAAAAATTGATAGTGTTTGAGAAAAAAGTGATTTTGAAAAGTAAAAGTTGGTAGTGTTTGGTAAAATAAGTGCTTTTTTGTGTAATAGAAAAGGGAAAAGCACTTTTCACGCGCAAGCCGAGAAAAAGTAAAAATTGGAAGTGTTTGGTAAATAAGTGCTTTTTGAAGCCAAAAGTTGAGAAGTGCTTTTTTTTAAGCTATTGCAAACACTCCCTAATTCCTTCTTAATTTTTGTGCCAAAGGCTATACTCCCATCTATTAGAGAACGGAGAGAGTATAAATTTCGAAATTCTCAAATATTATACTCTGCTATTACAGAGTTTCTAGATTCGTTTTCAAAATTGAAACCTTCTTAATTGGAACTTTCCGTTATAATTATTGTAATTACACAATCAATGTTCCAAAAAACTCCTCGAACTCTTTAATTAAATATTGGTCTTGCGTTTTACAAAGTCCAAATACTACAACCCACAACATAGGCAAACTAGGCTAGATACATGCAGGCCTCTTCTTATATTAATTTTTACTTTAGGCAAAACTGAAAAAGGTAAAAATAAAATGGCTCAAGGATGGAGATGCTAACATTAAAATTTTCCATCTGTCACTTACAGCCCAACATCAGAAACTCACAATTTCTAAAATCAAGCTGGATGAATAATGATTGCTCCTGGACCGATACCAACGATGAGATTAGTAATGCTACTGTTTCTTATTTCTACTCTCTTCTTACTGTTGATGTTGATTTGATGTTGATGATGATAACCCTGGCCTTTCCCATTATCTGCATAACATTATGCCTGCTATTAATGATTCAAACAATCATTTACTCTTGAGGACTATCACAAAAGATGAGCTCAAAGCTGCAATTTTCAGCATTGATATACACAGTGCCCCCAGTAATTATGGCTTTGAAGGGCCCTTCTATCATTATGCTTATTAGATTATTATTGAGAATGATCTGTTTAACGTTGTGTAGGAGTTCTTTTCGTGGTGTCCAGATCCCTAAAAACATTGGTCATATCCTTATAGTGCTTATTCATAAAGAACCTAATGCTTTCCAATTTAGGCCTATAATTCTCAGTAATTACATCAATAAAATCTTTACGAAAGTTATCACAATAAGGATCACTCCCCTGCTTTCTAAAATTATCATTGTCGAGCAAACTGCTTTAAAAAAAGGTAAGGAAATTTCGGATAGTATTCTTGTTCTTCAAAAGCTGGTAAATCATATTCATAAGAAATGAGGGGTCAAAATATCATTTTTAAGTCTGATATGGTGAAAGCATTGGACAGAATTTCGTGGGTCTTTATTAAGCATGTGTTGAACAGTTGGGTTTCAACCCAACTTTTACAATTCTTATCATGAACAACTTAATGGTGCTCGATCTAAAATGTTGTTTCAAACCCTCAAGAGGTGTTAAGCAAGGGAAACCTCTTTCCATTCTGTTTATTATGGTTGTTGAGATTCTATCAAGGCAGATTAATACATTCTGCCGAACAGGTAAAGGTACTGCTTATCACATTCATAGAGGTATGCCAAATATAAACCACCTTTCCTTTGGTGATGACCTTATAAATTGTTCTCTCTAATGCTGAAAAAAACACTTGTTAAGCTCAACAAAATCATCTCTGATCATGAAAAATTTTCAGGACAGTTTATTAATAAAGATAAAGCTTTTATCTTATTTATAAGCATGCAAAAAACCATAGTAACTTGATTGTTAACAACATCTTTCAAATAAAAAGAGGATCCTTCTCCTTCACTTATCCTCACTTAAATTATCTGGGGGCTGATATCTTCACTGACAGAACCCTTAAATACTTAAGGAATAAGGATATTAAATACTACGTACAATAAATAAGAAAGGCTTACCTTGACAGCCTTGAATGTAAACTATTTCTTATTATTTAAGATAATAGATATGTTATTATCTTTAAACTTCACTAGAAAGTAATATCCACTTGTGTGTATATTCAAAGCGTTGGTGTATATTCAAGGGTTTGGAGTATGCAGAAAGTCATGAATGAGTTAAAGTGAATTGAAGTACTGCCACTATAAGTGTATAAGCATTGTTGATTATGCTTATGAGCATTTGGGTGATGTCGTGTATGTTGAGTTACCCGAAGTTGGGAACGATGTGAAACAGGGCACGAGTTTTAGTACGGTTGAGAGTGTCAAGTCCACTAGTGATATCTACTCTCCTAGTGTTTTAAATAGCCGTAGCGACAGCCGTAGCGGCAGCGGTAGCGGTCATCTCGGTAGCGGCCTGTAGCTGCCTATAGCGGTTGCAGCGGCGTGAAATATTTTAGAGTTTGCTACCATAATGTATGTGATACATGTACATTTAATTTAGAGTTTCACACTATGCATCATTATTATTTATTAATGTATTTTTTCACAGCATGCACACAACATTTACACATTTACAAATCAACCGGTTCGTGTTGTAGCGACCAGTAGCGGCTGGTAGTGGGCTGTAGCGGGCGGCGTAGCGGGATTTTTCTGTGATTTGAAAATCACACCCTAATAGCGGCCCGTAGCGGTAGCGATACCTACCGCGACCGCTATATAGCGGCCGCTATAGTGGTAGTGGACCGCTATTTAAAACATTGACTCTCCCTGTTTCTGGCGAGTAGTTGAAGTTAATGAGAAACCAAGTGAATCACCTTGTCAGGTTAATGGAATCCATATAAAGATTGATGGATCATTGATGATGATCATTAAAGATGGAGATAATTGATGATGAAAGCCAAAGCTTTCCAATGTGTCATGCGAAGATTCTCATCTCATGCTTATAATATGGCTCAATTGAAGCTTCAATACCATACCTATAGACATCACTGGCGGAGCCAGAAAAACGGGCCAAGGGTCGAAAATAAACTATGTACAAAATGAAAATGGTACATCGTTTTTAGACAATGTTCGAATTGAATGTTTCATTTGTAGTTTAGATAAATAGGCATTCGTAAGCAATAAGATATACTGTCTTTGCTCTGTTTTTGAATCATGTTACGTAACTAATGAATTAATTATACGTTATTCATAAAAGGGAAAATGTGCAAATAGGCCCATGTACTAATCAAAAAAGGTCAAATAAGCCCTTATTTAGGAGACTTTGTCCGGCCGTCGTCATTTGGGGTGGTTCCCGGTGGAATTTTTTGATGATATTTTTTAAGCATCTTATTCATCAAGTCTAGTTACTCATACCAAATTTCAGCTAAAACTTCAATCGGGAAGGCATTCAAATGAATTCTTGAAGATAACTGCGCTTCCCGATTGAAGTTTGAATGCCTTCCCGATTGAAGTTTTAGCTGAAATTTGGTATGAGTAAACTAGACTTAATGAATAAGATGCTCAAAAAATTCCTAACGGGAACCACCCCAAATGACGACGGCCGGACAGAGCTTCCTAAATAAGGGCTTATTTGACCTTTTTTGGTTAGTACATGGGCCTATTTGCACCTTTTCCCTTCATAAAATTTGGGAAAATAATCAATATTATGCATCAAAATTTGCTGATTTTCCAGAAGTCATAACTTTTTACTCGTAATGAGTTACAGGGGCAATAATATATCAAATCGAAGGTATTTCAGAGTTTTATACTCTCAAACTTTCAGCGGGCTCGGCTGACCTCTTTGACCCCCCCTTGGCTCCGCCCCTGCCTATAGTGATTTTTTGACTGATTATTAGTTTTGCTTTTGGAGTTATCATTTACCCTCATCCACAACAAGTGTCAGAACATGAACTATTTAACCTTCTTACATGGTGTAATTCATAATAATCTTCTACTCAATTTTTTAACCATATTTACCTAATTTAAAATGGGTCATTACTATTACATTGGGCAACAATCGCGTGCGTACACCGCTAGTACGAAGTATATAAGCTGTTGACAAACTTCCATCATTCACTATAAACATTCTAAATTAAGTCGTTTTATACTTTTACCAAGTAGGGCTGTAGGGACTGAAATAAAGATTATTTCGCTCAAATGGATTACAGAAAAATATGAGCTAGCGCATGAAATTACGACCTTTCTCCCCTTTTAAATGTCCCGTTTTACCATATTGAGGTGTCCCTATTTAATTGTGTCATACCTTATCTGGTAAAGTTTATGTGGTTCAAAATCATTCTTACTTTATCTTTACTTTGTGAATTAATATCAACCACACAAACCCACTTTTCTTAAAACTTGTGTCACCCTCATCCAGGACATTTAAAACGGGACGGAGGGAGTATATGATAATATGAGGTCCCCTATACTCCTATAGTTTCTTTAAATTGGTGCTCGGCTTTTGTGATTCTATTGAGTTAGTTTTATCATTTGGTAGAGTACGATATACAAGTATACAACGGATTATGTTGGCGTGCTCATTTTTAGTTGACTTATAATGTAAAGAGGGAATCGGGAATGAAACTAGTAACTCTGTCCCACTCAAATTTGTCAAGTTTATATTTGTTTATGTAGGAACTCACACCACTTGGGAGTGAAAAGGTTGCAAGTGATGATTTTATCATTTTGTTGTTATATGTTCATTGTTGGGAAAGTAGTCTATGAAAGTAGTCTATGAATTATAGCTAGCGATCAAATTCCCAATTTTGAGATTTTCGTTTTTATTTCTTTGATCTTTCCTTAATTCTTCTTTTGTGTACAGATTTTTAACATGTAATAAGAGCTAGGAAAGTTGAACCAACACATACATGCCAAATGATTTCCAGAATTTATAGCAACTGAAAGTGGTTTTATTTTGTGTTAATTTTTGGCACAAAACTTGTGCCATTAGTTCTTCTCCTAGCTAGCAGTTTGTTTATTCAGTTTAGGAATTGAAAGTGTGTATGTGTGGTCTTATTTCAATAAACTCTGATATGATGAATTCTATTTTGATGAAAATTTGAAAGGCCATTCTTCACTTTTATAGCAGAAAAGCTGTAAGCATCCACAAGCACCACTGCGTTCTTCATGCCTCTTTCTACTCACACATTGCCTCTTTCTATTCTCTTTTAAAAGAAAATGACTATAGGAATTACAACTTTGACTGATAGGTATATGAGCATATCCAATAAGGACTTTTATTGGAAAGTTATTCATCAGTTGATTAAGCTCTACAAATGTACTTTTCACAAAAACAACAATATGGTGCAATAGTGTCTTCCTATTCTTATATTCTTAAATAAGCACTAAAATTGAATGCTTTTTTATGTACAGTTCTTACCAACCACCTTTGTTAGAGTAGGAGTTATTGTTTCACCATTCAATTAAATTAAATGAACCGAAGTTTTAAAGAACAACCATCTTTTCATCAGGGGCACCCCATTTGAACCCCTGTTGATCATAACCCTTTAGGAGTAATAATGGTTGCTTAAATATCTAAACTAGAAATAATATCACATTTTGCTGATTTGTGTTTGTCAATGCATATAGGAATCAGAAGACTAATTTTACATCTGTATCATCGGAACAAGATGCTCTTGGAATTCTACTAAGTGAAAATTCTCAGCAGTTCAATATCATAATTAAACAATGCAACTCTTGCCCCTGATGGTTCAGAGGAAAAGTATGTATTAAAAGCAAAAGTGATTCTGAGTCATGTGCCAATATGGGTGACATGTTTGGCGGATGCCATTGTGTTTTCGGAATCATTCCCCTTATTCATGAAGCAAGGAGCTACGATGAACAGGTCCATTGATTTAAACCTCAAAATACCAACTGGTTGACTCTACTCTTAAAACCTTTATTAGCCTTTCTGTGGGTCATATTATATTCTAATATATTATTGTCTTTTTGTTCCTATTATGAATGTCGTGTGAGTTGTGACTAGAAGGCCTCTGGAATACCAATGCTTCAAATAATAGGAACAACTGTATTTCATCTATTCTCTCTAGGGTGTTGCTAGGTGCACCCTGAAAATTACTTAATGCAACCTCAATTTGACTACTTTATCCTTTTAAAAATTTTAATTAGAAATTTTGATCCCCGCATGGTAATCCAATTGCCTTTAGAGAATCAAAGGTTGTGCTTTGATTTTGCGTGTGGCGCATCCCAAAATTGTGTTTGATTATATATATATATATATATATATATATATATATATATATATATATATATATATATATATATATATATATATATACTAGTTTTTCACCCGTGCGTTGCACGGGACATTAAATTTAAAAAATCATTCATTGTGTCATTCAATCATTTCTACACCGGAATAATATGCTAAATTTCAAGCATGTATATCATATATCTGATTGAAACATTTTAAATAGATTTTAATAATGTCTCACTTCTTTCAATTTGAATGGCTCTTAATATATTTCTCAGTTATATAGTTATATGACCAATATCATCAAATCTCATAAGATTTTCCTAGGGGTTGTCCTCATTTAGGATTGTGTAGAATTGTTAAAACTTTGAGCAATCTAAGATCCTCAATATAGACTTTATTGGAATCCGACAAAATCTATTGTCCTAAAAATTTCATTATTTTCACTCTTCAATTTATAAGAATTTATGTGGATTTGAAAGCTTAAATGTAAATGAAAGAATTCAACTCAAAACACCACCATTCCTTAATATTTTAATGGATTTCGATCATCCGATGATTTCAGTTTCTTCATGTTCATTTTTCTCCATTAACTATCGCCGAGAAGAGAGCCCTTACTTCAACAAATTCGAACTCCTGAAAAGCCCTTATCACTATCTTCCTATTCAGACTCCCTAGCAACAATGCAAGGCTAAAGACGGATGTGGAGAAGCTCCATCAAGGATTCCCTGTCACACCATGAACACTCTGTTTTGAAATCGTCACTCACAACTTCATCCACAGATCTGAAGGGTATTCAATTGTGTAGAATTTCATTACAATCTCTTGGATTCTATACTATTCCATACAATTTCAAAATCTCACACCATTACCTATTGAGCTCGCCCTTGCCCCCACCCAATCCAATGTCATTGGCATTACCCCAGTGCGGCAACCACAAGCTTGAAAACACTATTATTAGTCCTAAATTCAAAGTGCATCATTCCAAAAAAATTTGTGCTCCCTTATGTCATCCTTAAACTCAATATATAGGCATTTCTGAATCTCAATTGTAGCTTGTATGTGCCTGCTCTGAATTCTATGTAGAACATCACTTATTAATGACTTACTCACATTGTAAAGTTCTTAAATAGTGAGTATATCTAATATTCATCAGTATTGAACAACCAATGATATGAAGTAAAAAAATGCAAAGAACAGAAACCAAAACTGCAAGGAGGTATAGAAGAGGACAAATTAGTCAAATCTCCACATTAACACAAATGACTTTGCCGCTATTATGTATTTTTTGCTAGGATAAACGATTTCCTAAGAGGACAAAGTATGGCTTACTAATATTTGCATCAATTCTTATGGTATTGTTTTCACATAAATTAAAGAAATAAATAGCTTGCCAGTTGCCACCTGTTATCAGCACAAATGTAATTATAATAGCAGATATCATAATTTGCTACTGACTTATCCTGCAAATTTAGCATCAGTGTATGGTTAAGATGAAAAAATGAATCATAACTTCTTATTGGACTCTACAAAGTATCTAGAAGAAGAAGGAATGAAGAAACACATTCAAAACAGAAAATGAAGAGGAACAAATAATAGAGGACAAATTAAAAAGAGGCAAATAACCTTAGACAGTACAAAGTGTTGGTTGGATACGTAAATGGCTAATAAAATAGAGTTGTCTGTAAAAAGCATTTTTTTTCACTTCTTACCATCGCAATACTGAATTATATCTAGGGAAGAAAATAATGATACTTTTCAAGTAGAAGTAAAAGGAAAGGAAACGGGTTCCATAATACACGAAATAAGCAAGAAAGCAAATAGTGCAGTATGCATTACGATAAAAACGGCATTTTCCACCCAAAAAGGGCAAAAGTACATTTTGCAACTATACCGTCTATACATACATGTGAATAAAGATTATTTTTACAGTCTGGGCAAATAAAACAGAGTGGACACTTAATTATCATGTTACATAGTACTGATAGTATAAGATGAAAATAAAAAGTTAACATTTTCTTTAAAACCGATTCAAAGATAGAAAAAAGATTCTTCTTAGGACAAACCTACATTTTACAACTAAACCTATATTTGAATACAGATTATTTTTTACAGATTAGGGAAATAAAAAAAAGTGAACACTCTTTATATGTTTGATATTTTCAAGCATAAATAGAAGTGAGTCATTTTACCGCAAACTCATCATCGGTTTATTTAAATAGAAAACATCCCTAAAAGGAATTCATTAGAAATCAATAATCAGTTAATTACCTCAATAATAATACGGAGTAATAATTAGGTAAAAATATCAACACAGCATGCTTTTCATAGGAATAAAGTGGACCTTGTCATGATTTTATAAGCTGAAGAAAAGGATTTACCAAAATGAAGTTTTTTTCACTTCTTGTCATCATAACCCTAGAAGATAAAAAGTAAAGAAATAATATAATAATGAAAGTTTATCAGTTGGAATTCAGAAAAGTTAAAATTTACAATCTAAGCATTATGATACGAAGATATACATGTATGTACCTCGGTACCTCCACGGTGGAATTAGCCATTGGAGTGTCCGTAGAATGAATTGAAGCATCCTTAAAACAGCCAAACCCCAGCGGCCTGCAGCTGCCCACCAGATTTGCTCCCTGAACTGGTGGCAGCCCTGCAGAAATTTTACAGCCCTGCAACAATGCTCCTAGCCGGTCTAAGTACTTCATAAAAGTTGTCTCATTACCAATCTGAAAATCCCAGTTCAACTGACTCCACACCTGCTGATCCATTTAGATGCAGTCAAACCCAGCTGATGTGAAAATCGGGTAATAAACATTGCCAACTAAACCTTTTATTAATATAAAAAGATTAAATTGGAGTATATATTTAAGAAGCAAATTAAAAGATGTAATTTAAACTCCAAACTAAGGACTCTTCAAATTAAATATTTAAAAGAGTCAAAAGGCCACTCCTCAAGACTCTTGTTGTTGGTGAAGCATCTCATATTTGATTCACATGCAACAGGAAAACTATCCAACATGAAAATGCAATAAAAGAGAAGTAACCATCACAAATGGAAGAGGACTCAATAAAAGAGAAGTAACCAAGGCAAGATGATAATTTATCCCGCATTTATTCCTAGATTTTAATTCCCGTGAACATTAACATTCTAAATACCAATTTAAGTTTTCGTGAATACTGAATAAGTCCTGCTGATCCATTCATTAATCGGGACAATATATCAACTTGCCTATGTTTTAAAGTGAACCATAGCATTCAGCTCAATGCATCCTAACTGGCCAATGTTTTAAATCCTAGTGAACAATAACAGGAATGATGGACTAAAATAGCTAGATATGAATAAACCGGGGGAAGAATACTACTCCCTCCGTCCCAGGGAGAAGTTCCGGGGTAGACTTTCACACATATTTAGGAAATAAAGTTACTGAGGGGTAAATTTTACTGTTTGACACTGTTTCAACACTGTTTGGCACTGTTTAGACACTGTTTGGCACTGTTTTGCACTGTTTGACACTGTTTTGATGTAGGATAACTTTACATTTAGGGAAATGAGAGCTTTTTGTTGGGACTACCAAAAAAGGAAAGTGGGAACTTCTCCCTGGGACGGAGGGAGTATTTATTTTGTCATACCAAGCATATAGAACAACACACGTGGGTAGGTCAATTCGAGAGAATAAGAGCAATTGAATCGTTGATTACCTTCATAAGACCGGATTTGCGGGAGCAAGTTAATTCTACAATGACAATTGAAGATTTGCATGTTGATTTGCTGATTGTGTAGGGAGCTCAGTTTTGTTATATGCTGAAATGTGAAAGAAACGGAAGGAGTGCATGAATTTATTGCCGACCTATGAAACGGAAATCTGCAGGTCGAGATTTCTGGCGGTGAATGGGTTTATCGCTTCCCTTGAGTGAAACGGCAAGAAAAAAATAATGAAGGCGTAATGGCTGATAAAGAGAGAATTGTAACCGTAGATGAAGTAAATGGCTGAGTAAATGGAGAGGAAAGAGAAGCGGGAAAGAGCTTGGGAGAGTGATTTTGCTTTTAGGTATATAGGATATAGGGGAAAGATCAAGTACAAAGTGTGCTTATTGTGCAAATATTTGTACGATGCACCTTGACGTTATTTGCATTGCATATTGAGGTTCAAAGTATTGCACATCATAAAGTCATAAAAATAACAGTTGCACATTAAGGTGCAACGTGTTGCACCCTAAAAAGTTGGGTTTTATTACAAAAATGCCACCTTGCATTTATGTCCTTTGGATCAACTCATCGGACGGTCAAGATGAGTTTGTACTTTGTAAATTAAGAAGGCTTTGTATTTGATCTCTATTCTATATATATATATATATATATATATATATATATATATATATATATATATATATATAAAGTATTGAACAAATATTTTATTTAAATTTGGTTCAATAAATCTCTGGTGGAAATGTATTTTACTATCATCTAAAACACGTCTCATCTGACCTGATCTGTTTAAGTGTGATAGAACCTAATATGCTCTGTTTAAGTTTGGTCAGATATGAGAGTAAGATTGATCCAATTAAAAATATCATACAATTATCCAATTATAAAATAAGTAAAAATAAAAATAAAATTATAATTTTATTACGGATAATTTTATGATTTTTTTAATTAAAAATAAGTAAGATTTAATTCACTTTTTCTAGTTCAGACAATTGAAGATATAGTCGAATACAATTTATCAAATTTGATATGAGATAATCTTAGTAAACGGATTAAAAGAAAAGATTAGATAATTTTAGTGGGACATGGAAGTGCTTGTTTAATATTTTCTTCGTTCTTTGGTTGCAACGTTTTTATCTTTACAAATGTCAACACAGAACTTTGATCAATAATATATTTCATTTCATATAAGTAAACAAAATTTAAAAAAAATAATATTTATAATGAGAAGAATTTAAATTATTTCTCAAAAACTTCATTTTTTATAGATTAATAAATAAAATATAGTCAATGTAGAATGATATGGTACTGTAACTATTTTAGCGATACAATATGGCTAGATCTCGAAACTAAAGCTGTTTAGTACGGTCATATTTCTAAACGGGCGGTACCATGTACCAATATCAATCATGTCACTTTTTAAATTGTCCCGACCTAACAAAAAAATTAGCATGAAACATACTCCTTCCATCCCCGAAAGAAGTTCCCACTTTCCATATTTGGATGTCCCTAATTTAAGTTCCCATTTCCTTAAATGGAAAGTTATCTACATCAAAACAGTGTCAAACAGTGCAAAATAGTGTCAAACAGTGCCAAACAGTGTCGAAACAGTGTCAAAATAGTAAAATTTATCCTCTGGTAAATTTACTTGCATAAAAGTGTGAAAGTCAAATGGAGAACTTCTTTTGGAGGCGAAGGGAGTATTAAAAATATGTATTCAAAGTCATGCATTAAGGTTTTGCCATAATCTAAAATATGCATGATAGATAAATAAATATTTATTAATCTAAAATATGCCATAATCTGATTTATTGAAGAAGTGTGTTTAAAATTAGAATAGAGAAGATGGTTGTAACAAAAAGTCTTAATTTAATAGAAGTGCAGTCATTAAAAAAGTCACACTAAATTACGTAGAAGGCCCCACAATATCTTTTTTATGAAAGCAGGATAGTAGATACCCCATCTTTTATTAAAAATGGGAAAACTATCAAATAGGTCCTCGAACTTTCATAAAAAGGTCAATTAAGTCCTTCTATAGGAGGTTCTGTCCGGCCGTCGCGATTTGGGGTAGTTCCCGGTAGTTTTTTTTGATGAAATTTTTTGAGCATCTTATTCACCAAGTCTAGTTTACTTATACCAAAGTTTAGCTAAAAATTCAATCGGGAACACATTCAAATTAATTCTTGAAGATAACTGCGCATTTTTGCGTTGTCGAATTAATTTGAATGCGCTCCCGATTAAATTTTTAGCTAAAATTTGATATGATTAAACTAGACTTGATGAATAAGATGCTCAAAAAATTTCATCAAAAAATTCCACCGGGAACCGCCCCAAATCGCGACGACCGGACAAAGTCTCCTATGGAAGGACTTAATTGATTTTTTTATGAAAGTTCGAGGACCTATTTGACAGTTTTCCCATTAAAAATTAAACAGTTGCAATAGTACGTAGTAGGACAAAGTTGTCCAGGATTGGAGAAAGATGGTGCGCCCAGCAATATCGAGGGTGCGCGGAGAACGTCCGTTTTCTCTATGTAGGTTGGCAGGTTGCAGCTGTAAACAATAATTGAGAAGAAGTGTCTTCTAAGAACTGAAATCAAAATGGTCAATCCCAAATGTTACACTTGAGTTGAATTTAGCTTCTTTAGCTTCCATTCTTCATTCATTGGTTGTAATATTTCCTCATTTTAAATAAAGTTTCATTTTCTTAAAAATGTAGTTGTTTCGTATTTGGGACGATTGGCGAATATACTAGACCCATATTTACTTGCAACATTCAACATTTCACGTTTACCAATGCACAAGTTTGACCATTAATATCTTTCATTCCTTATTAGTAAAAATTTTCAAAAATTCATATTTTGAAAATTTAGAATGAGAAATATTTAAAAATATTTCTTATAAATTTAATTTATAATACATTAATTAATGAAATATAGTCCAAGTACTGGACTTGGTTTTCTCTTGAATAATTCTTCTTGATTTTCTCTCAGTCAAGCACACATTTCTTCTCTTCGTTTTTTGCATATATAGGCTGCACCGTTGAACCAGCCTTGGTATTCATTAAAAAACCTTCCATCTATAAAGATTTTCTTTATTTAGACTCAATACCTTTTATAAACTGAAGACCTTCAAAATAGCTTTTTGTCATAATACATAGGAGTAATTCACGCGTGTAACGATTTCAATATTTTGCTAAGAGAAACAATGGTCAAACTTTTCATAGGAATAGAAAGATACCTACTTAGAGAGTCTTTGCAATTTCTTCAACTTTAAAAAAGTGATTTTTTAAAGTGATTTTGGGAAAAGTGATTAATAGTAAAAGTTGGTAGTGTTTGAGAAAAAAGTGATTCTGAAAAAGTAAAAGTTGGTAGTGTTTGATAAAATAAGTACTTTTTGTGTAATAGAAAATGTGAGAAGCAGTTTAAAGCACCCTTCTACCTGCTTCCAGCTTTTAGCTTTTAAGTGATTAATTTAAGCAGAAGCTGTCATTTGCAAACTCTTTTCAACTTTTTTTAAGTCAAAAGATAAAATGTGCTTTTTTAAAGCAATCCCAAACACTCCTTTAGTATAAATAGTCATGTAGTTAACATGTAGGGATTCTTTCCAAAGATAGATAGACTCAACACTGAAATGGTAGAAATTTATTTAATACGGAAGGAATGCAGCAGCCATGTAAAAACGATTTCCTTCCCTCCTTTTGAGTGGATTCAATCATTGAAAAATCTTTCCATTTAATTAGTCTTTCACTTAATGATGATTCTTTTTCAAATCATGCTACGGATACTTTTGCTATTTCCAAAATGTAATACTTCCATCACATAATAGTCATGTATGCACCTAGACATAAATGAACCATAGAGTAGTTCCAACTGAGCAACTTGGTTAGAACTAGGATAGTTTTTCCTTTTGTCCCAATATAGTTTGTCATCAACAAAACTAATCAATCAACAATATGGGAGCACAGATCATGATACTCAATTGCGTGTTTTCAATACTCAATAAAGAATGTTTGATTCTCAATAAAAATGTCTTGAAATTCAACTAAAAAATGATTTTTCATAACAATACTCATTTTGTGAGTTACTATGCTCAATTGGTTTTTATATTATGCTCATTTTTAAAATATATCCATGCACAATATAAAAGTAGCATATGACATTAGATTCACTTATTGAAGTTCTTAGATTATTTAATGAGCATCAATACGAAATGAGCATACATAAATTACAAAATAAGCATCAAGACATTTTCAGTAAGCATCAAACCTCCGCTATTGAGTATTAGAATTGTACGATTGAGTATCGTGATTTTTGTTCTCATGTCTATAATCAACTACTATGTGAATCTAAGGTAATATGATACTTTTGAAATATGCATTGACATAACATTTTAAAATTAGCATAACAGCAATATCAATGAGTGTCAAAACGTACATAATGAGCATCTGAAAATTCGAAAAATCATTTGTGAACGTTCATTCTTTGTAGGCATATACTCATATGAGTTTAATATAAACACATTTATAATCAACTCCTATGTGAACTTAATGTAATATGGTGCATTTGAATTTTGAAATATGCATTAACATAACATTTTAAAATGAGCAGAACAACGGTACCAAATGAGCATACATAACATACATAATGAGTACTGCTGATAAGCAAATTAGTCCGGGGGAAATGTGATTTTTATCCAACTGAAGAAGATGAAGGAAACCATGGCCATCTATGTGGGTTAGTCTGGTGTGCTTGTAGCTCTAATGGCTGCAGTGACATCGGTTGTGTCCAACCATATTTGTGCTTCTGATCTTGTTCCTTGGATCCCGGATGTTGAAACCTTCTTTTCCAATTACCAATTAGAAAGAATTTCAAAAATATAATGATTAAAGAGACAACCTATTCTTAGCAATAGCATTGAGCAGTATTCTGAAGTCCGTAGAACTCCCGACCCCATGTTCCAAAACCCCATGTTCCAATTCACGGCCAATTGCATATACTCCCTCCGTTTCTAAAAGAAAGTCACGGTTTGACTTCACGATTATTAAGGAAATAAATTGACTTTACTGTAGAAAACACTGTTTAGACACTGTTTGGCACTGTTTGGACACTGTTTGGCCCTGTTTGGCACTGTTTGACACTGTTTGGATGTAGATTTCTTTGCCAAATAAGGAAATAAGGGAAGTGTGACTTTTATTTTGGCACATCCAAAAAAGGAAAGTGTGAGGTTCTTTTAGAAACGGAGGGAGTATAATTGAAGACAGTCAAGGTGTGAAGCTATTATGCTTAATACGGATTAAGTAATACTTATACCTGAGACTGGGAGGTTGGAACTTGGATTTCTATAAGGCACAATTGACTTCTTGAGAAGAACAGGGCGGCATGGCATAAAGGAAGATATTAAGTAGAGTAAAAGAGTGAATTGAAATCGGAATTGCAGGAGTTGGTAAATTGAAGCCGGCCGGGCAGCGTCTTCCGAGTTTTGGCTTCACAGTCTCGTTACTTTGCCGGTGATGAGTCTCGTTAGTTGAAGCCTTCT